ACGCGCATGGGCCCGGCCCCCCGGCCTTTCCCCCACCCCTGCCTGTCCCCAGACCCCTGCTTTGTCCCCAAACCCTTGCTTTGTCCTCAACCCCTGCCTGTCCCCAAACCCCTGCCTGTCCCCAATACTGCCTTCCCCAGCCCTTCCGTGTCCCCAGCCCCCTGCCTGCCCCCAGCCCCCTGCTTTGTCCCAACCCTGCCTGTCCCCAGCCCTGCTGCAGGGCCCTTATCCAGCAAAGAGAGACCCCTTCCCCCCTTTTGCAGTTAAGGGAGCGATGGGGTTAAATCCCGGGTATTGATAAATAATTAGTGGGGGATAATAAGCAATATGGGAAGAGATGGAAAAAAAGCATCGTGACCTGGATGAGAGATTTGGAAAATCCCTCACACGGCTCCAGAGCCTGCTGATGGGATGCTGCAGGACCTACCTGTCCCCAGCAGCTCATCTTCAGCTCCCTTGGGATGGGTGTCCCTGCGGAAACGCGGGTGGCTTTGGGCTGGGTTTGGGGTGTAAAACTGTTCCTGAGGTGTCGGAGCTTTGCTTACATCCCACTCATGGTTTGGTGCCTCGTCTCTTCTCCCATAGGTTTGTCTATGAGCAGAAGAATATGTCTTCTCCTAAAGTCTATGTTCTGCAGCCTTGGATTACCAACCTCTTGGTGAATTACGAGCAGCTGGATGCCACTGAGAACCTCCTGGCCGGGCAGGTCCTGCGGGTAGGTACCGAGGGGGACTGTCCTAAAGTGCTCCAACGGCATTTGAAATCCACATTCCTGGAGGTGGACGGCAGTTCCCAATTCAGTGGCTGTGGGTGGGCAAACCTTCCTCAAAGTCCTCCGATTCTGGGGGCTTTTCTTGAGATAGAGGACCTTTGTTTTACCGGTTTCTGGTGGCCTTTGCTGACTTTTGCACCCTTGGTAGGTGTGCTCTGCTCTCATCCCAAGAGTTTGCAGTCTCCGAAGTCAACTTCTTTCCCAGCCTTGTACTTGCAGGCTGCCTTGCCTTCATCCTCCTCATCCTCTCTGTGTCCTGGCTTTCCTCGTACCATGTGGTTTGATGGGTTTTCTTTGACAGTGGGTAGCACGAGGCAGAAGCAGGACCTGCTGAGGTGTCTGGAATGTCTTCCTGTCTGGTGGTGAGCGTTGGTGGGACCATGACTTTGTCCTTCCATGGATGCTGGCTCTTCTAGGAGAGCCTCTGGCATGGTGATTCACGGCATGGGGTCCCCAGGCACAAAACCTGCTCCTGCATCATTCCTGGAGAGCTTTTCTTGCAGCACTGGTGATGTCTTTGATGTTTGATCTATCCTGTGGGGCAGAAGAGAGCTTTAGTCAGGGGACTTTTCCCTGTTTGAGGCCTGATGGGCGGTGAGAAGGAAGCAGGAGAACAACCGAGTGGGGTCAGTGCTGCTGATCATGGAGGGATTGGGTGAAGGTGTTGTGAGACAACCAGGTGCACAGGCAGATGTGAGACCCTCATGTGCAGGGCAAGCAGTTCCTTGGTTGTGGTCATGTCCTGGACGCTGCAGAAATCCAGCTCCAATGCTCTGGTTTGCTGTTTGCTCGCAGCCTTTGGGTGCTTGGAGTCACATCCTGCCATGGACAACGGTAGTGTGAGCAATCTCCTAACGTCTTCTGGAGATGAGATGTTTGAGACAAATCAGGTGCCTCCTTACTAACAGGAGGAAGGAGAAAGATGGATGTTGTGATTTAAGTGGAAGGAGAGGTGAGATAGGGATTAAAAATCATGACTGCAGGAGAGAGAAGACCCCAGGGTCCTGTTCCCCATCCCATCTGAAGATGTGGAGGTGGTGAGATCACCGATTCCCTACTTCTTGTCTCAGTCCCTGCTCCCAGGCAGATGTGTTGTTCCTGGGCTGATGAAGACCCAGCAGTGAATGAATGGGTCCCCTCTAGGGCTTGAGGGATTAACGGGGAGAGGTGCCTCCATGTAGAGAGAGCCACCAAGCTGGTGAGGGGTCTGGAGAACAAGTCGTGCAAGGAGAGGCTGAGGGAACTGGTCATGTTTAGTTTAGAGAAGAGGAGGCTGAGGGGAGACCTCATTGCCCTCTACAACTACCTGACAGGAGGTTGTAGAGAGGTGGGTGTTGGCCTCTTCTCCCAAGGGAACAATGACAGGACCAGAGGAAATGGTCTGAAGTTGGGGCAGGGGAGGTTTAGATTAGATCTTAGGAAGAATGACTTTCCTGAGAGAGTGGTCAGGCACTGGAACAGTCGGCCCAGGGAGGTGGTGGAGTCACCATCCCTGGAGGTGTTTAAGAAACGTGTAGACATGGCTCTTCAGGGCATGCTCTAGTGCCCAAGATCGTTGGGTTGTGGGTGGGTGTGATGTGGTGAGGTGTTGTGTGTTTTGTTTTGTTGTTGGTGTGTTTGGGGTTTTTTATTTGTTGGGTTTTTTTCGGGGTTTTTTTTGTTTGTTTGTTGTTTAAGGTTGGACTCGATGATCTCAGAGGTCCCTTCCAACCATGGTGGTGGTGGTGATTCTATGTAACCACCCTCCAACCTACACCCACCCCAGTCCTCCACATTTAATGAAGGTTGGGAGTGCATCTTGAGCAGCAGAGCCTTTCTTCAGCTTGCTCTGGTCTCCAACTCTGCCTGACACCTTCTCTAACTCTTTCAGATCTATAATTTCCAAACCCATCCTCTTTTTTTATCTTTTTTTTTTATTTTTTACCCAGTCCTGTGAGCAGCCCTGCCTTCTCCTGGTACCGGTGCTCTCTTGCAGCTAAGCCTCTCTGCCTCCGCTGGGAATGAAGAGTTGCCCATAGTGAGTGAGCACACAGTGGGACTGGCCACCTGCACGCTGGGCTTCTCCCACTGGGGTGAGGAGACACAGCCAGCGGGCACTGCTGGGGGGCTGAGCTGAGATACCTACAGGAGCAGGATCCTGGTGGCATGGGCATCCTTCAGCCCAACAGCAGGCCTTGTTGGCTTGGACGGGGAGTTTATGCAGTGGGGATGGCAGGCCTTCTTGTCAGAAGGTCTCAGTTGGTGGTGACTGGTCTTTTTAACGTGGTGAGCACCTATTAAAGGCCGTAATGCACACCCCCTGTCAAATGGTGGTGGCTTTTGTGTGTGATGGGACATGCCTTTTCACGACCCTCTTCTGGTATCGTGTCCCAACATCACCGGGCAGGTGAACGATGTACACGACATATGTGACCAAACGGTAGGTGTGTCATGGGAGAAGCTCAGGGCTGTAGGGCTGAGGGCAGGCCAGGACTGATCTGCAGCTCTCAGCCCGTGGAGCAAGCAGGTGCGAGACTGGAAGGAGCAGTTTATTGCATCCTTCAGGGGTTGTTTTGACCCAGCGTGGTCATGGCTTTGTAGAGGCTCAGGGCTGCTACAGCAGGAACTTTATTCAGAAGAAGGGAAGGGCTGTAGTGGTCCTGCTGGCTACTGATGCTCTCCATCTTCCTGTGCTTTGCAGAGGAGTATGTGTCCCAAGCTGCCCAGCCCCTTTTGCCTGGATTCCTACTACTGGTTTGGGTAAAAAAAAAATGCTTGGTTGTGGCTCCTCTCCCACCTTGCCTTCAATTGCTCTCTTGCACAATGTGACGTGTCCTTTATTCTGTCTTGGTGTGGAGCCTGCGTGGTCCAGCCAGGAGGCACAAGCACATGCCAGACCCTTTGGCCATGGATTAAGCGTTGCCCTCTGGCTTCACGGTGAATGGTGACCTTCTCTTCCAAGAGTCCAGGCTCTCAGCCAGGCCTGGTGTCTGGTCCTTGTTCATGGGGAAGTCTGAAAATGAGATTTCTTCCCCCAATCTCTTGATAGGTTTTGAGTGACTCAACTGCTCCAGCTCAACCTGAGGTCCCCCAAGATGCTGTCCTGCAGGTCTCAGATGGCTCCTACTACATCCGTGTGGTCATTACGCCCGAAGCTCTGCAGGCGGAGGAAAAGTGGGTTCCACCATGACTTGGCTGTGGCTGGGACAGCGGTTCTCCCCAGCTGCTAGTGGGGTTCCTGACTGGTCTTGGTTCAGGTTGTGTTAAGCTAAAGCCATCACAGGGTGGGAATTCTGTGTGAAAAAGCTAAGAGAAGAAAACCAGAAAGCTGGTTCTCCGGTTTTGGCTGGCTAGGATGGGCAGGAGTTGATGGCAGAAGCTGCAATGCCATGTAAATGTCATTAGAAAGGTTCTGAAGAGCACGTGGGCTTTGGGAGAGGAACCAGAGCATTAACCATGGGCTGCTCCCTCAGTGCTTTCCTCAGTTTCCCCATTTGGACACCCCCAGATTGGTGGGATGGTGGTAGCAGAGCTGAGAATGAGCAGCAGGGATAAGTTTCAGGAGCCCTCAGTCCCTGGTGCCCCTGCTGAGACACGTACCAACATGCCCTGATGTGGTTGGCATAGCTTTTGGGGGAGTCCTACTATGTGTCTGGGTGGTCCAGCTCCATTCTTCACCTCGCCAAGACGTTCCTGCTGTGCTCTTTTTCTAGTGCCCACATGCAGCTCAGGCTTTCCAGCCTTGTTTGCAGGATTATCGTCTTGCAGAAGTACACGGTGTGTTTCCGGGATGAGGCCAGGCTGGTAAGTGCTCCGATGAGCAGAAACAACTCATTCCTTGACCTTGCTGTGCTTCCTGCATCCTTCCCTGCTTTGAGCTGCTTCCAGAATCTGGAGGCAGATGAGGGGTGGCCTTTCTTGGGGGATAGGGTGTAGGGGAGAACTTTGTAGAGTAGGGTTGATGGTTGGACCCAATGATCCCAAGGGTCTTTTCCAACCTGAATGATTCTATGATTCTTCTTCCATATGCATCAACTGGGAGGTTCTGTGGCAATGATGGTGACTTGGCCTGGGCGCTGGGGCAGGGGATGACGTGAGCCCTTCATGGAGATGTGGTGCATCACGCCCAGGGCCACCTGGTTGTTACCTCCTCCTGCTGCCGGGCAGCTACAGGCGGCCTGTGTGGACCACTGGTGGCAGAGCTGCCCGCTGTTCCCTTTCAGGAGTGTCCCCATGGCCTTGGGCTGGCCCAGCCTGGCCTGTAGTTCTTGAAGAGCCATCAGCTAATGGGGTTTGATGGTACAAACCCACCATTGAAGGGTGTTCTCCTTTGTGGCATGGCTTCACCTTGGTTGGAGGGTTGGTGGCAGAGCTGGGGTGGGTGCTGGGTGCTCGCTGGCCCAAGGGGTGGTGGGATTGGAGGTGGGATGGCAGATGTGCCTTACAGGCTCTGTTTTCCCCGCAGGAGGACTGTGAGTTTTACCTCACGGCCCAGCAGTTCATGGTGCTGCCCATGGAGAGGCAGAGGTTGGAGTCATCCGATGGGTATGGCCCATGGGGTGGGCAAGGGGCTTGGGTCTGGGGTGGTGGGGGCTTCCTCATCTCCCCAGGGAAGCGCTGACCCTGGGAGCTTTGGTGGGAGCTGGTTGTGGTGGAGACTTTTTGCTCTTTGAAAGTGGAGTTGTCTCTGGAAGCTGTGAAGGAAGGTGGGCACACAGAGGGAATCAGTAACCGGCTTCTCTCTCGCTGCAGGAACCAGGAGCCCTCTGTGATGCAGAAGATCAAGGAGCTCTGGCTGTAAGTGGGGGACTGGCCATTTCTGGGGAACGTGGAAGTGTTCAAGATGTGGCTTTGAGGAACCTGGTCTAGTGGGAGGTGTCCCCGCCCATGGCAGGGGGTTGGAACTGGCTGATCTTTAAGGTTGGTTCCTTCCAACCCAAACCATTCTATGATAACATACCTGGACACCGTGATGAGACACGCAGGCTCTGAGTGGGGCTAGAGCTGGTGGGCAGGGGCAGGCACACCTTTTGGCAGCTTCTGGTTAACCTGTGGGACTCCCTGCAGGACATGGCAGAGCTGAATGGGCCATGAAGAATGAAATCTGAGTGACACAGAGGGCTCTTGGACCCAGCCTTTTCCCCTAAACTGGGAGAAAACACCCCTGGAGAACTTGTTTCTTCCAGCCGTGGGGAGGATGGCTGGGTGGGTGAGCCCTGCACAGCTTATTTTTCAGTCCATGTTTGGAGCCCCAACTCTGGAAGACCCTCAGGGGTCTCCACCAGTCCATCTCCAGGAATGGGACTCCCTCATGGACATTCCTGGGATACTGAGCAGAGGCTGGTGGCCAGACCCAGCACCCAGTGGGGAATCCACTACTTCCACAAGCCACTTTTTTCCAAGCCAGGATGATTGATCTGAAAAGGGCTGCTGGCCTGCCCGTGTCCCAGCCCTAACCTGCCTTTGTCTTCTCCTTGGTCATTGCAGGAGGAGTCTTGCGCTGAAGAATGCTCCCAGCTCAGGTAAAGGGTTGTTGGGGGGGCACATGGTGCTCAGGCTGCCTGGTGGGGGGCCCCTGGATCTCCTCAGTTTGGGCTGGGTTAGGCAGAGGTAGCACAAACCTGACCAGATCTCACGAGGAACCCTTGCTAAACCTAAAGCAGGAGGAGATGGTGCTGACAGCTAAAGCATGGGCCATCGTACGCCGGTGCTCACGCTGGAGAAAGGAAAGATAGTTTGTGGAAGCAGAGGAAATGCAGACTTTTGTGTGTTTCCACAGGTTTCAGTCCACATGACAGTCGTGCAGCAGAGTAGAAGCATTTGCTGAATTAAGGTGTCTTCTCCACTGATGTTCATGTGTTCTTGCTCCAGAGCCATCCATCTCTCAGCTGATTGATGCCATGGGCCAGGACCAGCTGGAGGTTTTGAAGGAAAGTGCTGAGAAATGCTTGGATTTACAGATGTCCAAGGAGACCCCTCCAGTGATGGTGAAGGATGAGGTTCCCGTCACCCAGTGGGAGGCAGAGCGCAAGAAGGAGGTCAGTCCTGCTGCTGTGACAGCTTGTGGTGAGGACCCTGCTCTGGAGGGGTGGGAGAAGGATAGGGAAGAGTGGTGGACAGAGCTGGAGTTCTGGTGTTCAGCTGCCCAGATTGTGAGCGGGCTCCTGCATCTCAGGTGGGAGTCCCCAGTGAGAAACCACTTCATTTGTCTCACCTCAGCAGGGTGAGGACGTCTTCATGGTCCCAGCCAACATCCTGGTGATCCCTCCTGAGGAAGAGGCAGTTGCTTGTGATGCTTCCAAGGCAGGTCAGTGTGGTGGCTTCATCTCGGGTTTAGGCAGGTGGGCAGTTCAGCGTCCAAGCGTATGAAATATGGGTCTCCCTGGGGTGGGAAGAAGACTTCCTCTGCTCTGGCTGCGCACCGAGCTGGGATGGGACCAGCAGTGCTCCTTTCATTGCAGACACGTGCGAAGCAGCTCCTGGGAAGAGCGGCGTTGAGAGGATGGTGCCAGGTGACCCAAGTGTCATATCCCAAACCAGCCGTGAGTAGTGGGACCTCCAGATCCCATCCAGCCTCGTAGTAGTTTCTTCTGAAGTTGGCTCAGCCCATCTTCTCCTTAGATTGGGCATGGCCTGCCTTAAGCAGGCAGGGAATGGTCCCATTCCTTCAGCCTCCTGAAGCTGAGCAGCTTCGGTTTGTTGTGCTGGGAGTGGTTTTTGTCCCTTTGATGCCATCACAGAGCCCGAGTCACCTGCCACACTTGTGTCACCTCACTGGGTTTCATGTCAACCAAGCTTTGCTGCAGAAGTACCTGCAAGAGCTCCATGTAGGAGGTGAAGGGAGCTGCTGTCCCGGACAGTGCAGGGTGTTGGAGAAGGTCTTCCTCCCACCTGCCTGCTCTGTGGGCAGCATCTTCCTCTCTGCTGCCTGACACAGGGGCTGGCAGAGATCATAGAAAGGGTCTGGGTGGAGAACACCCTGGTTTTGGTTGGAGAAGGCTCTCAGCTCCCCTCAAGTGCTGTCTCTGTCCGAGAGCCTTTGTAGCCCCTGCAGGGTTGAGAGTGGGCAGCAGCTTTGCCAAAATCAACCCCTCCCGACTTGATCTTTGCAGCTGCTGAGTCAACAGCCTTGTCGGAGAGCTCGGAGGGATCCCTGGACAACCCCTGGAACAGGCTCCCCCAGATATCTTTGACCCTGAACTCTTCAGATGGTGAGTCCCCATGTCCCTGAGTGTCCAGCCTGCCTCACCAGCAGGAGACAACCCCCTTTCCTCTCACTGGGTGACTACATAGCTCCTGTGGATGCATCGTTCCAGCTCCCGTGCTTTTCCTGCACAACGTGATATGGTGGGTCACGTCCCACCAGCGGCCGCCTTGCCCCCCGCCCAAGCTGACCATGTGGTTCCTCTTCCCAGAGAAGACCTCTCAACATGACGTTTCACCGAAGACCCAGCAAGACGTGGTTGCTGACAGCAACACCCCAGACTTGCTGGAACAGTGTAGCCAGGACGCTGCCGAGGACTTGCCACCAGGAGAGCCGGTGCAGGCCTCCTCTCCCTCCCTGCTCTGCTCCTACGACAACATCAGCCCGGTGGAGACCGGCACCACCCGGGCACCAGCAGCTGCGGAGGCAGCCAGCGATGCCCCCTGCCCTCCTGGAAGCCTGGAGATAGCGGGGGGCTCCCCGGCCGCCCCCTCGTCTCTTTCTCCAGCTTTTTCCATCACGCCCAGCAGCCTCCCGCACCCCCTGCCCGAAGGGACGCCGCACAAGGAGCAGGCGGACTCCAGCGGCACGGCTTGCCCTCCGGATACCTTGAAGCGTGGTTCAGCTGGTGCCAGGACCCGGGAAGGAGGTGCCCTGGGTGCCAAGAGGAAGCTGCTGGCGGGAGATGATGGCCAGGCGCTGCCCGGCCTCGGGAGGCAGAAGTCCCCCCGAGGTTCCATGTGGGGCAGGGGGAGAGAGACGGGCAGGAGGCTGGAGCTTGTGAGCACACGGCGCACAAAGAAGAGCAGAAAGGAGGAGACAGGGCTGCAGCGTGGAAAGGAGCTCGTGGAGGAGGAGGAGGAGGAAGAGCAAGCAGCCCCATCAAGTGGCCCCAGCTCCAGGCCCGAGCAGCACAGAGCTCTGCAGCCGGTAAAGAGGAAGCAGCTGGTGGTTTCCCCTGGAGGGTGGTCCCCAGGGATATTCTTGTGTGTCCCCCCACTACTGGTGTACCCTCCCCAAGGGCTTTCCTCACCTGCCTGGTGGAGATGGGTCACTAGAACACGGGTATCGACACAGATGGTGACCCCAGCCCTCCCAAAGGATGATCTGGGGCACTGGGTGAAGATACGGTTGAGCCTGTGGCCTCATTGGGTGGGAGCCAACACTTGCTGGAGCGTTCATCTTCCAGTTCTCTGGGTAAAATGAGATTGGACGAGCAGGCAACAATTAGGGGAGAGACCCCAGAGTTTTCCTAGGCGTGGGGGGGGGGTGTCTCAGCCTGGGTGGTGGGGCTGTGCTGTGGGCTTTGGGGCTGGGACAGACCACAGCCTCACCCTCCCCTTTCACTCCTGCAGTACGTGAAGGAGAAGCGGGCCCAGTACAGGTATGAGGCACCGAGCCCCGAGCTCTGCGAGCGGATACGATCCGTCAGGTCAGTGCGGCCATAGCCTCGGACAGCTGTCCCTTGTTCCCCCCCATGGCATGTCCCCAGCCGGGTCCCTTCTCACCCTGGTCTGGTTTTGCAGGATCTCCAAGGCGATGCTGAAGTGGGCGTGCTGGATACTCATGGACGGGGAGGTGGACTCCTGAGCCCAGCCCTTCCTTCGTTTCTTCACCAGTTCAGCAAAAAATCACTTAAAACTTGGGGGAGGGAAGCCGGGGGACACCAGGGACCCCTGTCACCAAGGGGACCCCTGTCACCAAGGGGACTGCAGAGTAGGCTGGCCTGGCTCCAGAGATGCTGGGGACATGACCTGTTGGAGGCCAGCACCCTCAGTGCCAAGGCGGGGGGCAAAAGCAGCCGTTCAGGGATGCCTGTGCGTGAGCCAGCATCCCTCTCCCACCTCTCCTTCCCCATCCCTTCCAAACGTCCCTTCCCGGTGGGCAGGGACAAGAGGTGACCTGGTGCCACCCCCGTTAGCAGGGGTGGCAGCGGCCCCACAACCTGATCCCCGCTACGAAGGCAGCGCAGGAGTTTGGAGGTTTTATTGATGACATTTAGGTAGGGTCCTGTACTCTTTGTTAGAAAAAATATCCCGCAGGGTTATGTTGTAGAAATTAAAAATAAAAATTGTATATTTTTTAAATACACAGCTCTTGTATTAAAAAAAAAAAGGGAGAAAAAAAAAAAAGAAAGAAAAGCATGTTGCTGCTTTGTCGTAAACATCCGTAAGGAATGCGTTTGGTCCAGAGCGGAGGTCGAGGCGGGAGAAAGCCGTTGGGGTGACGCTGGTGGCACCAGGAGAGCCACGGGGGTGGCAGGGCTGCAGAGCTGAAATGCCATGGGTCGTGGTCCTGTTGATGGAAGCCTGCGTCTTGGCGGGGGGGGCTGGAGCGAGCGGTACCCCACGGAGTGAGGAGCTGGAGGGGTGAAAGGGCCCTGGTGACACCTTCTGAGAACGTCCTGCTGCCAGCACCACCGCTGCCTGCCCAGCTCCTGCCTAAAACCACCAGTTTCCCCCCGCAGGGGCCCTCCGGGGAAGGTGATGGCCGCTCCGTGCATCCCGAGGGCTCCAGCAGGATCCCAGGGCCCTCGTGGGCGATGCTGGTGGCCATCCCCACAGCCAAAGGTGGCCGATGCCATCGGAAGCCGGCGCCGCAGCCCCGTGCCCCGTCTCTCTCTCTCTGCACCCCGGCTGCCAACCACCTCGGCACCGTGCGCTCACTCGCAGGGTTTTATTGGGGACAGTGGCCCAGAGGCATGCAAGGGGCTTCACTGGCCCGGGGCTGGCTCCCCCCAGCCCGGCACCGGGCGTCTTTGGTCTATGGCTGCTGAGTCCTGTGCATTCGCAGCAGTTTGTGCCGGGGCTTGCGGCCGCTCGCCTTCGGTGCCCGTTCCAGCCTGTGGTTCCTCCAGCCCAGCGTGGGGACAGTCCTGCGCCGTGGCACCTAGAGAGGGGACGAAGGGTGGCGTGAGTGTGTGTGGGGGGACACAACACCCTCTGTACCCCAACACCCTGCATTAGCAGGGGTGCAAGGATGGGGAGGGACACACACACACACACATATCACATCTCACCTGCAGCATCTGAGGATGGTCCGGGCTCGCTCTCCGGCTCCGGGAGGGAGTCGTGCTTGGTCCTCCGTTTGAAGACAGGCGACCGCCGCAGGCGCAGGGGGATGGTGCCCGCTGGGGGAAACACAAACCAGCCCCACGTTAGGGTGAGGGGCAGCCACTTGGCTCCTGCTCCCTATCTGCCTGTGAGCCCGGGCAACCTGGCTACCACCAAGGCTGATCCCAGTGCCAAGTGCCCCCCCGGAATCCTCCATCTGGGGTGATGCCATCATCCCTCACCCCAGGTGGCCACCCGACAGCACCACCATGTACTGTGGAATGCCACCATGCCACCACCTGCCTCCTTTGGCAAGGGGTGCAAGGCCGGGGGGGGGCATTGGGAGGGTCCCATTGCAGCCCCCACTTACTTCCCAGCCCTGCCGGGCTCTCGGGCTCCCTGAGCTGCTCCTCGTGGACGGACACAGCTCGGCGGCCGGTCCCCCACAGCACCGCCAGCCGCGGCGTCAGCCGGTTGTCTGCAAAAGCAGTGGGGAGAGATGCCATCGCTGGTGGGCCTGCAGCCCCCCCAAAACATCCTGGCAGCCCCCCATCAGCACCCACCCTCCATTCCCAAGGGGCTCCGGGGACAGCCCAGCAGTGGAATGGGGGACCCCATGGGCATCCCTACCTTCGGTGTCGGGCGGGGTGGGCAGGGGGCTGACAGCACCCACCTCCCCGCCGTGGCTGACCCTCCGCGGCAGCGTGACCGGTGCGGTCCTCCCCGGCCGTGGCAAGCTGCTGCTCCAGCCCTCCCGGCCCCCGGGCTCCGGTAGCCCACTGGGCTCGGCCAGGAGGAGGGAGCGGCGGGGCTGGTGGGAGCTGGTGGCCTGTGGCTCCACCGTCAGCTGCCTCCCCAGGGATTTCCAGGCTGGCCGGGGCTCCATGGTGGCCGTAGGGCTGCGGAAGGGTGCGTCTGTGGGGAAGGCAGGGCAGAGCTGTGGGTCCCTGGCAGTGATGTTCCCAAGGGATAGCTCTTGGTTCTGGGACCTGCAGCCACCCCAGGGAGCGGGCAAGGGGCTGGGTTAACATTGGCTATTGCCAGGGTTGGGCACCCACGGGTGCAAAGGACCCTGCCCGTGGCCACCGGTAACCTGTTGGTCCCCATGTAGGGCTGCTTGGTGCCAGCAAAGGGGACAGAGATCTCTGCCCCAGGGGTTGGTGTCACCACCCCCGGCACCCACTGGTGACCCACCTGTGGACACAGAGTGCGTGCGGGCCTTCAGGGACGGGGGGGAGTCCGCAGAGCTGTCCACGATGTCCCCTGTAAGCACAAGCCACCAGCCATGAGCACACCGGGGTCCACCCAGTGTCACCAGCACCCAGTGAGAGGGGGGGAAAATGTGGTGGGACCCACAGCTGGGAGCCCAAGGGGGCCTGCCCGTGCCCACCCTGTGGGTGCCCAAGCTGGGCAGGGGTCAGGGTGGGGAGGACGCAGCCCCTCACCATCTGAGCCGGCTTTCTTGATCTCGTTGTCTTTGTTCTGCAAGGGGAAAGAAATTTGGTGAGGGGAAGCGGGGGTGGCAGCACCCTCAGGGACCATGGGGGGCAGAGGACAAGGTGATTGCCAGGGAAGGAAGGACAGACAGACCCCACACAGCGCCTAGGAGGCCACATATTGGCTCCTTGCAGAGTCCTTGACAGGACTGAGGCCATGGGCAGTGGCAGGGTGCTGTCAGCGCCAGTTAGGGGAACCCCATCCCAGAGACCCCCCACCTCCACCCCCCTCTTTGGGTGCAGGGCCCATCCTGAAAGCCGAGCCTCTCCCCACCTGCTGCTTCTTGCCCTCGGCAGTTGGACCCTTGGTGACACCGATGCGATGGAGCATAACCTGCACTCGCTGCTCGAAGGAGGCGGGCAGCTCCCCCTCGCTCTTCTCCAGGTGCCTCTTCTGCGGGACAGACACAGCCCTGCCAGGGACACAGCACCCACACCGGGGGGGGCCACCCGTGTCCACAACCCCCAGGAGACCAAGGCATGGCCACCACCCAGCGGGGTCATACCCAGCATCACTCTGGTGTCCCCTCACATCCCTCTCTGGTGCCCACCACCAGCCCCTCCTTGGGTGGAAGCAGCACCCATCAGCAGACCCGGCGTTGGTGGCCTGGTGACAGAGCTTACCTTGTCCTGCCTGACCCCCAGCGCGTCCTCGTCCTCCCCGGGCAGCAGGATGAGCGACTGGGATTTGCCCTCCCGCGAGTACTTGGGTCGGATCCTGCGGGCCGAGTCGGGGGTCTGGCAGTGCTCGGGCTCTGCCCGGGGCTCGGCAGCGAGCCCCCCCTCCTCTGATTTACTCAGGGGCTTGCCCGCCTCTCCTGCCTTGCTGGGGGCCCGTAAAATGTCACTGAGCATCGAGCGCCGGCTCCTGGGGGCGGCGGGGCCACCCTCGGGCTCCTTCTCACACCTGGAGCCCAGCCTGGATTTGGGTTTTTTGAAGGCAAAAAAATTCCCGATTTTCTTCTTGAGGGTGCGGGAGCCAGAGGGAGCCAGGGGGGCTGATCCTGGGCAGGTCTCCGGAGCCGTGGGACTGGGAAGAGAGGAAGCATGGGGAAATGTGAGGCCACCGAGGGGCTGGAGAGCATTTCCCCCTTCTGCCCACCCTGAAGGGATGGATCCACACCCCAGACACCCCACCTGAGATGATGTCGTCCCAGCAAGGACGAACTCTTCCCAGTGTCAGACCCCCCCACTGACTGCCTGCTGTGGGGCAGACCCCACAGCTCCTCCCTGAGCCTGTGGGAGCAGGGTGCTGGCCCCATCCTGCACCCCATGGCTGCCTCCCACCCCTCTCCCACCATCCTTCCCCATGGTGACGCCCAGGCTGGGTGCCTGCCCTGAGAAGGGATGTTTTCCCCAGCACCCCTTCAACACTGGGACCAGCAGCACTTTAACGGTGAAATCCCAGAGAGGGGTGCAGGGTGCTGGGGGGGTGCAGGGGCCCCCCCCCCCCCCGGGCTTACGGCTGCTCCTCTGTGATGACCCTCTTGGCAAAGAAGTCCTCCAGCCCCTCATCCACACGGGTGATGCTCCTGTCCTCACTGTTCTCGCAGGCCACAGGCTGCACCTGCGAGCAAGCACGGCCATCAGCCCGGTGTGGGGTGAAGATATCCTCCCCCCCGCCAAATGTAGGCCACCTACAAGTGGGTGCCTGTGCAGGAATGGAGCTGGCACCCTCCATCTCGCTGTGCAACCAGCACGAAAGCCAAACTGCGGTGTTACCAGCTCCAGCTCAGCTCAGAACCTGCCCCATCCCTGGGGCATCAGGAGCTCCAGCCTTCCCCAGGCTCCTACTAGCCCCCTGCATCCCTCTGGTTGCCATATCTGGGGTGTTGGTGGGTCCCCAGCACGGTGGCTGGGATATGGCATCCATACACACTGAGGCACCCGAGCGTTACACACAGGTAAGGTGTCGCTGACCCTCCTTGGTGACACACGATGGCAAATCCTACTAAAAGCCCTCCTAGAGCCAAGCCAGGTCTCCAACCCCATGTCCCCACAGGAGCAGCCTTTTGGCAGGGACAATTCCTCCATCTCAGCCCCCAAAGAAGGGACACTCCTGCCACTGGTGGGTGACAGAGTGGGTGCCCCATGGGGACCCACATCTGCACCATTCAGGTTGGTGCCCATCCTCAAGTCCAACCTTGGAGTGCCACCACAGCCCAGATGAAGGCCACCCATGGCAAAGCGGTCCAAGCCTTCCTCCACGGCACCTTCCTCACCCCAACCCATAGCACCACATGGGTGGCTTCCTATCGATGAGAGGGAGGCACTCCCCATCGGTGGCATTTCAATCCATAACGACTTTTCATTACGGCTGGATTGATGCTGTTCCAGGAGCCGTTCCAGCCAGCCGAGATCCGCTCTCCCTGTCACATCACATCCATCAGAGCCCATCCTTGCTCAAGTCTCTTGGCCAACCCATGGGTGCCCACCCCACTGCGCAGAGATGTGCCAAGGTGACGGTCCCCAGGCCCTGCGTGGCTCCTGCCTCTCCTCCTCGCTGGTCCCACCATGGTGCAAGGGCAAGTACCGCGGTGGCCATACAAGCCAGGGCTTTCCGGCAGGTGGAAGGATCCAGCTGCATCATGGTGGCGTGGGGACAAGGTGATGCCAGCAGGATCTGGCCCTGGGGACGGTGACAGAGCTGGATTTCTCCACCCAAAAGTTAGTTTTCCTTTGGGAAGGGTGCTGCAAAGGCAGGATCCCCAGGTGCTCACCCTATGAGTTGGGGGGGGGGGTGGAGAGAGGTGAAACCCACCCTACTGCAGCCAGTAGATCCCCACCAGATTCACCAGGAGCCACCACAGCCGCCGGACCTTCGGGGCTGACAGGTTTTGGATGTGGGGGGGGAAGCAAATTGGGTGCAGGAGGAGAGAGGTAGCCGGAGACATTGCCGAAAGAGACAGCCCTCTGCGCCCAAACTCTGCGGGTGTTTTTTTCCCCGGTGTGTCCCCCCCCCATTCCCCCCTCCCTGCCGGCTCCCACTGCTCGGCATCTCCCAACAGGCAGCAGGAAAAGGGGATGGATGATTTCCCT